TTCTATATCCACTGAATATATTGTATGTGTGCATATATACTGTAAATATATATATATATATATCACTACCCCCTTAGGAGTTGCTGAGTATTTGAGTCCCCCTATAGTCCCGCACAGCCAGGCAACACGCATTGCCACAACGACTTGCATCCAGAAGTCAGAAATCAGTCCTTGAGCTTGTTTTTGATATTTTATTAGGGGATTTCAACTTCAATGAGGTAAGGGGTATATGGGATGCTCAATGGGACTGATGAACTGAAGACAAATACCTGGAACTATTTACAAGTCTACTGCAACACAGTCTCTTTTGGAGAGCTAGCCAGCATCTCCTGTAGTAACACCCCAGACCCCAGATAAAGCCTTCTTCTTTATGCAGCTGTCTGGAGTTATCCCTGACCAGAGGATCTAGTACCTGTCACTTTAAAAAATTAGACAGCCCCAGTAGGTGGCAAATCTGGTTTTCCACCAGAGGGATCCTTCCCCTATCTGTCCCAGGGGGTGCAGGGTTACTCGCTCAGTCCTTCTCCTGTGATGCTGGTGGGTCAGTGGCTGCTAATAGGCCTTCTAGCTAAGCTTCCTCTCCCTGATACACAGGCGGTCCTCACTCTGGGAGCTGGTGAGGGTCTGAGCTTTCGCCCTTTCCAGCTCCACTGCCTGTAGGTGAGCCCCTCTCTTCATCTGGGCCCCCTCCCAGGCTCCTGCTTTCAGCCTCACATCTTCCTCTCTGTCTTCCACATGAACTCTTCTGCAGCTGAGCAGGCTCTCTCACTTTTAAAGGTTGTCCTGGCCCCTTGCCAAGCCTCCTGTTGGGGATTGGCCTGGCTACCTCAAACATGCAGATTAGCCACTCCTTAGATCCACCCACTGCTTCTAGGCTTTTCTCCAAAGTTCTAGAGCAGGGGAAAATTTCAGAGGGCTGGTCTGCAGAGCCTCTCAGCTCTGACCAGAGTTTGACCCCTGGTAACTATCACACCCAAGCTGCTATTCATCCTTCCTAGCTAACAGTTAAGGTCTAGCTCCCCCTAGCTGACCAGGAGGGTGCTACATATACATATGGCATTGGCCAGCAGGATTTTGGATGGTGTATTTGTGTCACTTAGATTCCTCACCTATGTATATTGAGGAACTCCAGGGTTAAGGACTGACACTGTATGGAGAAAAACTTTTTTTTTCTTTCACTTTTTTTGTTTAAAAGTGGAACTTCAGTCACCTCCTTAGGCACTACCATTATAGCACATGCACCAATGCACCCACGGGCTCTCCCTGGCCTTTAGCTCATGGCAGAGCCTGGCAGCGCATCTGTGCACGTGCAGTGGAATTTCCCCACATGCGCAAAGACAGGGAAGGTTTCAGACTTCCCTATTAGCAGTGTTTGTGCATGAAACCCCCGCACGTGCACAGCTGATCAGATACCAGGCACATGCACAGAAGCATGGGCTGTCTCGGGATCCAAGCCCAGCGGCATATCCGTGCACATGCAGGGGATGGACACAAAGTCTTACCTAAGTGAGAAATACGAAGTGCTGCTTTGCAAAACAAAAAAGCCCTTTAAAAATGCCCATTGGTTGGAGAGGGAGTTGGAAGGAGGCAGGGGACAACATCACAGTTATTGTGAAGGTCTAGTTTGATCCCTTTTTATTAAAATATCATATGTGATACAATGATGTTGCACAAAATCACATACAAAACGCATAAAAAAAAATTAAAAAAAAAAAAGGATAGAGGGAGTAGAGTGGGGAAGGGAGTTGTGGTTACTTTTAATTCAATGTAACAGATATTTGTACTTACATGTACATAGGTCCACCCTGGAAGGAGCTGTTTCCCTGCAGCTATGATGATGAGCTGAGTAGCACCAGTGACACACCCGATTCTTTTTAAATGAGCTTTATTGAAGGCTAAGGCTCTGCATACAAAATTGGTCAGACAGACAGGAAATACAACCTTGCACATAAGTAGAAAAACCCCTAAACACAGACTGGAACAGGCTTTAAAATGATAACATTAAGACCTAAATAGCATGCAAAGACCATGTGCTGTTGGAAATGAGAAAATAAGTAAATGAGAAAATAAGTGGGGCAGGGGGCCAAGAGGTCCCTCATCATCAGCAGGTTTCAGCATTGTTAGCAGTCCCTCAGTGGCTAGCAAAGATATCTTCACTCTCAAGACTGCTTTTTGCAGTCTCTGAAAGCATAGTGTAAGACAAAAAGTATAGACTGAAGTAAAATATCGGTTGGCAAAAACAAATAATGCGGCTGAAGTTCTGGATTGGAAGCAGCGGCATGTTGTCAGCACATAAGCTCCCCTCACTTTCACATTGTGGTTTGGAGCTATAATAAGTATTGATCAGCATATTGATAATTTTGCCACTGCTCATAATATACAGAAAAGAACCACCTGAGAATTAAACGTATGATAAAACATAGAAAAAAAGGGGTGCAACTAGTGTAGAATCAGATACAATATGCAAAGTAGGGGGGATGTAAGGTGGGGAAACAAGGGTGATATATCATCCTAAGATAAACATCACAAGAGCATGTTTTTCTACAAGTAAGCATATGTCAAATTAGATGTGTTGGAGGAATATAAGGTCCAAATTGGGATAAGTCTAGGAGGAAGTATTGAGCTTAAGAGTAAAATGTATTGAACCTTCCAGTAGCGCAAGAATGTCAAAGATTGCTGTTGGCCTAGGTGTTTGAATGTAGGTGAGGTTCTGTGGGCCAACCAGAAGGACCATTTCTCAAGGGCCTGAGGATACCTGTTCTGATCAGATGCTACTGGGTTCTCAATCACATAAATCTCTTTCAGGTTTTGCATCCACTAAACCAGGGCAGGTGGATAGGCTGATTCCCAGTGTCTAGAGATCACCACTCTACAGCTATAAGACAATGAAGAAGATACTTTATTGAATTAGGATACAAGCCCAGGTATTTTAGAGAAGAGAGCAACCTGAAGGGAGGGCTGTGCTTTGGAGATGCACAAATTATGATGTAAAGACCTTTGACCAGAAGGCGGAGATCTAGAGACAGCCCAAGTAAATGATAAAGTAGTTTTTCCAAATGTATCCAAAGGTCAGATAATGATGGATAAACATGAGTACGTTCTATGTCCAGATGCCCCACCCAACGTCCCATAGAATGAGGAAACTGTGTGTGTGGGCAGGGTTGTAGACAAGGGGAGAATATGGGGGTCCAAATCCTCCCCCTGAATGTCCACATTGCAGCAGCTAGCACTGGTACCCACTAGACACCAGAATCACTGCAGCTCCTGCCAAGGACACAGTTAAGAGGATGGGGCATGTGGGTCCAAACTGCACTTTCAGGGAGGCTTTCCTTAGTTCCTTTATGGCTCAGGTTACGTGACCCAGCTCAGGGAGAATTTCTCACTCTGAAATGCCTGGTCTGTTGAGTGGATTATGGAGGGGGGACAGCTGTACTGATAGAATAGCTGTCTTGGGTAAGATCTGTCCTGGGGGAGAAGATCTATACTGGGTGACAAGATCAGTACTGGGGGGGGATGGAGAGAGGTCTGTACTGGGGGATATGTACTGGGAAGAAGATCTGTTATGGGAGAGCTGTATTTGGGAATGAGCTGTACTGGGTGGAGAGCTGCACTGAGTAAGATCTGTACGGGGGGGATCTGTACTGGAAGGAGAGATCTTCACTGGAGAGCAAACTCTACTGGATAGAGAGATCTGTACTGGATGGAGAGATCTTTTACTGGGAGGAGATCTGTACTGGGGAGAGATCTGTACTGGGGAGCAGGGGCGGACTGACCATTTGGAAACTCGGGCACTGCCCAAGGGCCCAGGGTCAGTAGGGGGCCCCATGAGATGCCCCTGGTACCTTTTTCATAAGCTTTTTTGAGTTTGGGCAAGGACACAGGGGCCCCATGATCCCCTATTGCCTGGGGGCCCCATGAGTTGTCAGTCCACCCCTGCTGGGGAGAGATCTGTACTGGGGGAAGAGATCCATATTGGGGGAGGGGGGTAATCTTTACTGCGGGTAGAGCTGTAATAGAGAGAGATATGTACTCAAGAGAGAGCTGTACTTGGGGGAGAACTGTACTGGGAGAAGATCTGTATTTTTGGAGAGCTGTACTGGGGGCGAGATCTGTATCTTAGGGGAGATCTGTACTTGCAGAGAGATCTGTATTTAAAGAAAGATCTGCACTTGGGGGAGAGCTTTACTGGAGGAAATCTGTACTGGGGGGGGACAACTATGCTTGGGGGGAGATCTGTACTTGAGGAAAGATCTGTCATGGGGGAGATGAGATCTATACTGGAGAGAGAGCCTTATTGGAAGGACCCCTGCACTCTAAGTACATTATATATACCTGACCACTACACTACTTATATTCTACAACAGTTGTTTTTTAACCACTTCAAGCCCAGACACTTTCACCCCCTTCCAGTCCAGGCCAATTTTCAGCTTTACCACTATCACACTTGCAACACTGTACCCATGTTAAATTTTTATCCTTTTTTTGAGATAGATAGGGCTTTCTTTTGGTGGTATTTGATCACCCACTGTGTTTTTTTTTTTTTTTTTGCTATATAAATGAAAAAATACCAAACATTTTGAAAAAAAATCATCTTTTGCTTAGTTTTTATAAAATTTGCAAATATTTTTTCTTCATACATTTAGGCCAAAATGTATTCTGTTACACTATTGGGGTAAAAATAACCCAAAACCGGGTATATTATTTAGTCTGTGTGAAAGCTATAGAATCTACAAACTATGGGATATATATTTGAAAATTGATCAGTTTAGACCCTAAAATGCTGGAAACTGATAAATCATATGGCAGCGATCAGGACGCTGGTATAGGGTATGGTGGTAATCAGAACACTAGTATGGGGTATGGTAGTAATCAGAGTGCTGGTATGGGGTATGGCAGTGATCAGGATGCTGGTATGGGGTATGGCAGTGATCAGGATGCTGGTATGGGGTATGGCGGTGGTCAGGATGCTGCTATGGGGTATGATGGTGATAAGGATGCTGGTATGGTGTATGGCGGTAATCAGGGCACTGGTATGGTGTATGGCGTTTAACAGGTCACTGGTTTGGTGTATGGAAGTGATCAGGGTGCTGGTATGGCATATGGCGGTGATCAGGGTGCTGGTATGGCATATGGCAGTGATCAGGGTGTTGGTTTGGGGTATGGCGGTGATCAGGACATTGATATGGTGTGTGGGGGTGTTTTTGTGCACACTCTGACAGGTGACAGGGGTTGGCTGCATGTTTTATTATGTATATACAGGGGTAGTGATCAGGGACACGGGGCACTAATCAGGGACACTGGAGTGGCTGGAACACCACTACAGGATTGTCTATGTGCAAATGGCGGACGGGAAGAGGTTAACCACCTCAGTACCGGTCACTTTCACTCCCTTCCTGCCCAAAACCGATGTTGAAAGTTGTGGTAATGAATGTTAAATTCCCTCCCGCATTGGTGCTCATGGCAGTGAAAGGTAATCCCCCACTGACACGAATGTTGAAGTTTATGGCAGTGAATGTTACTCCACCCCCCACCCACTGATGGTCACTTATTTTTTACAACTTCCCGCACTGCTCTCTTCCTCTGTCCAGGTCTCTAACTTTCTGTTTTTGGAGAGCAATCCAGCCCTCATCACCCCGCTGCCACTGTGCTATCTATATGGTGCTGAATAGCTCGTAGGCTGCACACAGCACACCTCAAGTCAGTACAGTCAGCACACTGCACTTCAAGTAGTCTGGCACACAGGGTGCTCTTACTAGAAGCTACAGGTTACCTAAACCAGGCTTACCGAAATCAATGATTTAGTGAAAATATGCGCTCATTATCTCTTATTTCCAGGCCCGTTAAAGGGAGCCTCACCCAAAATCTAGCAGGCTATACACAGACAGGCAGATGCTAATCTCACATACAGTCTGGTGCATCCTAATGTTTGTGTAGCAGCTAGGTAATTCCCACATTTCCCAAGCTATTATGTGAGCTGGATTGCTTACACAGTCACCTTTCCCACTTCCCACACACACACACACACTCAACACAGAACTCTGTTGTTGGCTACAAAATCTGCCCCTGCCTATGGCAGATACAATAACTTCCACACACTGGTACTAATCTGCATGCAATCAGATCGGTGATCTCATTCTCAGCCAGACATTTACTGTAATACTGAGAACATGAGGGCACTGCCACACAATGCAACCTCACAGAGATCAGCAATGGCTTACAGCCAAACTCATCAGCACTGATGATATAATACAACCAGGGGCGGACTGACCATTTGGAAACTTGGGCACCGCCCGAGGGCCCGGGTCAGTAGGGGGCCCCATGAGATGCCCCTGGTACCTTTTTCATAGGCTTTTTTGAGTTTGGGCAAGGACACAGGGGCCCCATGATCCCCTATTGCCTGGGGGCCCCATGAGTTCTCAGTCCGCCTCTGAATACAACAATACACGCAACAGTATCTTTAGATTCATGCGTTCTTTAGAGCAATCGAAACCTGGCTTAATTTTATATTTGTGTAGGGATCTGCTGTCCCCTACTGTCTGTATCTGTAGATGACTAGGTTGCTGAGATATTATGCATGCACTTACTGTCTCTTGGTTTTGGGGTTGAAAGACTCAGAAGGAGGAGTTGGAAAGAGAACGTCTGTTCATGGGAGAGTTGTTGCTGCACCCAGACCAGAATACATGGATTACTAGGCAAGTGTTCCTATGTTTAATAGTTCACAATTACTGCCAATAGCTTCTGGGTATATGTATACTGTTTATATCTAAAGACTGGTGTCAAAAGCATCTCTGTCCCATCGTTATTATCTCACTTACACAGTGCCAGATAGGTAGATTTGTGCTTCTGTATGTATTTAGTGGTCACCTTCCAGTACATTAGTAGGTGACATGACAGATTAAGAAACTACTAGGGACTAATATGCAGAGTAGGTAGGCTGACTCTTAAGTTCCAGTGCCACACCACATTTTTGGATGGTTATAATCTTCATTCCAGGCCGTTGTATAATGGTTGGAGGATTTCTCCATTTACTGGTGGTCTTGTACTTAAGTCTCCGACACAAAGACGAATGCCACATTCAGATCATCCTCAGATGCCCCTGCAACTGAACTTTGCTGCAACATTCATCTGGAGGTTACCTTATTAACCCGCCCAGAAGTCCCGCCCAGGACATAACGCGTACAGGAGGAGGAGTCATGCCTGCTGATGTCACCCGCAGCCATCTCATTGTTCCATCTTTGAAGGTGATTGTGCACAGGCGCTGTTTCTTGCACTTGGACGCAAGTGCTATGATTTGTGTGTTTTTTATCTTATTAAAACGTTATTATACATAGCAGAGAGCACCATTTGTTTTGTCTCTTGCTTTTATTCGGTATCACTGCATACTGGAGGATTTGCTCGCTGCTCGAACCAGTACTAGCGACCTTGGAAGTCTTTTACTCTGTTGGAAAGTGCCGTACGACCTACCTCTTAGCTCAGGGGTCATATTTATAAGGTGAGCAGCCAAGAGTGCTTTCTGGGCGATGGGATCTAGCACCTTCCTCATAAGAGAGCCTACGGTTATATGCATGATTCCTCACCCTTTCCTATTTTATATGGGTGGTCCATATTCACACTGCAATATCTGTACCTGTGGTCTTTGTTTATCTAAGAACTGCTTGGACTCATATTGCTATATCCTTAAATTGGGATTGTTTGTTATTGTTATTGTTTGTTATTGTTCTGCATTTTTCTTGTTATTTGTGTGCACTAACTGTGCAGTTCCCTATTTGGAAGTATCTCACAAAAAAAATGACATCTTTGTTGCAGGGGATACCAAAAATCTTCTGTGAAAATCAGTAAGTCACCCACGCAGGAAATTCCATTTTCATAGGACATTCTGTGTATGGCATGCCTCCATGTAGCCATATTGCATTGCTTTTTAAGTATGTTACCTTTTAAGTATGTCAGGATAATGTTATATTTCTTTTATATTATTTCATTTTTATTTATTTTAGTAAGACCTAAAGTGGAACTCCACTCAGAAGGGGAAGTTCCGCTTGTCTGCCTCCTCCCTCCCACCACTGCTACATTTGGCACTTTTTGGGGAGAGCGGGTATCTGGTTTTGAGAGGTACCCAATCCCACTTTTGGGTCAGTTCACCGCGATGAACTGAGCTGGAAGTTCAGCCCCCCTCCTAACTTCCACAGCCTTCTGGGACACTTCACAGGTCCCAGGAGACTGCAGCCCATTCGCAAAGCGCATGCTCAGTAGGGGGCCGGTTGTGAAGCTGCAAGGCTTCATGTCTGGTATCTCTTACTGAAGATGCCGGTGCCAGCACCCAAAGCCAATTGAAGAATCAGCTCAGGGTGAGGACATCAATGGACCTCTGGACAGGTAAGTGCTCTTAGACTTTTAATTTTTTTTGGTGGGGAGCCCGAAGCTCCTCTTTAAGCTAATAATCAAATCTTATTTCTCCTATCAGTTCATCCCTTAGAGATATTACCTTTTATTCCACCAGCCCCTCCCTGTTAGATTGTAAACTCCGAGGAGGGCCCTCCTAACTCTCTTGTTTTTAATTTGTATTGTTGCTATATTGTCTCCTTTTATATTGTAAAGCACTGCGCAAACTGTTGGCACTATATAAATCCTGTATAATAATAATAAAATATAGACACATGAGCAATAGCCATCTAAACAAATTAAATGGATAGTAAGAAAGAAAGTGTTACATTTTTATTCAAAAATGCCATGGGAGGTTCTGTGTTGGTCTAGATTAGAGGTCTAGTGATCCTAAATTAGGTATAACCTTGCAAGAGCTTCCTTTTAGGTATTTATTAGCAAAGTGTAATTTCACTTTCAACATCTACAGATTTTGGCATACCTTCTTTTCCACAAATCAAGTCTAAATACAATAACCTGAAGTATACTCATGCTTTGTATTATTTCACTTTGACTTTTGTTTGAATTCTTGTAGATTATTTACTTACATCAGAGCAAACAGGATCTGAATAACAAGCATAACTAAATATAGTCTGGCCCAACAGGATATTGTCAAGACTCAGTTACATGTGAAATTTTAATGGGACATGGGCAGGAGATTTAACTCCTTGTATTGCCAATAAAGCAACTGTCAAATTGGACTTAAAATGTATCTGTAGTACAAACTAATAATCATAAATTCATTTGCACACTGAAATTCAATTATTCAATTCGGCCTATTCCTATTATTCTTCCTTGAATGATTTGTGAAAAAACATTGCTGTGTTACCTTTTTCACAGACCCTGTGTCCTGAACTACAACTACACTACAGAGGTGCAGGGGGGGAGTTCAAGGAGGCACAGTCAGTAAACACACCATAATCACTGTTTGTAGGCAGCAGGGTACAATGGGATGTGTAGGCCTTGTAACTCGAAAGTAAACCATAGGAATGAGGAATGGAGGAGAAGCCTCCAAGCATACAGAACTACAAATAGCTTGTTAAATATACTGTACATAAGCAACGTAAACTAATCAATCCATATACTGTATAAATGAATTCCCCAATTAATAACAAATGAATATACTGTGTATAAATATTCCTCCTATGTATAAACATGAGTGTATATATACAGTGGGGATCGAAAGTTTGGGCACCCCAGCTAAAAATGTGTATTAATGTGCATAAAGAAGCCAAGGAAAGATGGAAAAATCTCCAAAAGGCATCAAATTACAGATTAGACATTCTTATAATATGTCAACAAAAGTTAGATTTTATTTCCATCATTTACACTTTCAAAATAACAGAAAACAAAAAAATGGCGTCTGCAAAAGTTTGGGCACCCTGCAGAGTTAATATCTTGTACTGCCCCCTTTGGCAAGTATCACAGCTTGTAAACGCTTTTTGTAGCCAGCCAAGAGTCTTTCGATTCTTGTTTGAGGTATCTTTGCCCATTCTTCCTTACAAAAGTCTTCCAGTTCTTTGAGATTTCTGGGCTGTCTGTCACGCACTGCTCTTTTAAGGTCTATCCAGAGATTTTCAATTATGTTGAGGTCAGGAGATTGTGAAGGCCATGGCAAAACCTTCAGTTTACACCTCTTGATGTAATCCCCCGTGAATTTCGAGGTGTGTTTAGGATCATTATCCATTTGTAGAAGCCATCCTCTCTTTAACTTCAGCTTTCTCACAGATGGCATCAAGTTACCATCGAAAATTTGCTGAAATTTTATTGAATCCATTTTTCCTTCTACTCGTGAGATGTTCCCTGTGCCACTGGCTGCAACACAACCCCAAAGCATGATTGATCCAACCCCATGCTTAACAGTTGGACAGAGGTTCTTTTCATTAAATTCTGTGCC